TCACTCTATTTCCAGAGTACAAGCTCAGGAGTTTCTCTTAGAAACTTAAGAGAATTGTTATACCATAGGAAATGTGAATGCTCACCTTTACGATGCCACATGTAATTAGCTTCCACATTGGTAGAACTGAAATATAAAAGCATTTGATTTTTCAAGATGATATTTTTAAATTTTGTCAAATAAATGTCTATTTGGCCAATGATGTTGAGGGTTCTAAGTCGCTGAAAAGCTTATAAATATTAAAGCACAGAAAATATCAGAAGTAGTTTGCCATTCTAACTTACTATGTCAATGTCTTCATAATATCCAGGATGTCTTGAAACTTTTTATCCTACAATCCTGTTGTTCGAGAGAGGTAGACTATTGGGAGTTATAACATAGTCAGGAACACCCAACAAATAACATATTAAGCACCTACTATGGCTTGTCATTGTTTGGCGAACGGCAGTAAGACAGGTCCCTGTCCTTGTGAGGTTCACATATTCTTTAGGAAAACAGACAATAAATAAGATATAAAAACAAAATAGTTGATTTTCAGATAGGAATAAGTGCTAAGAAGCACAGGAAACCAAATGGAGTGATAATGACCCGGTCTTATCAGTGTGGAGAGAGAAATCAAGTGTCACCACATTACAGGGTTCTAATGAGATACCGTCTCTTTTACATCCTAAGTGAACAGCGCCCCCTGGAGTTACACGGCGCAACAGCCCTGCGCAAAAGCCTTTGCAAACCTGTTTTTTTCTTTAATTTTTTATTATCATCATAATCTTCTTTATATTACATTGGATTACATATAACTTTACAGTGTATTACATTGCTTTTTCAAAAGGGAATGCCATGCAAGTCAGTCAGTACAAAGACATTAATCTCCCCGCTTCAACATTCAATATCTTTTCTATGTTTTCCCCAATCATTATTATTATTATAATTATTTTTTAAAACAGTCAATCGCTATTTCTCATTTTGCTTGTAAAAATACTTTGCCCATCATGAAATACTTCTCAGACCAATCTAGTTGAGAATACTATACATGTCATCATCAACAGTTAATAAGCCATATCTGTTTCTCACTAACGTCCTGCCTCTCTATTGTTCACTTGCTATCTTTTTCTATCCTCTTCTCTTCATTTCCCCCATTCCACACTGTCCTATTCTCATTAAGTACCTTCACTACTTTTATGTCCTCCAATTTTTTGCTCTCTATCATAGAGTGTGGATAGTCGGTATATATTGAGTAGATGCATACAATATCTTTCTTTCATAGCCTGGCTTACTTTACTCAGCAATAGATCCTCCATATCTGACCACCTTCTATCAAATTCCAGGGTCTTATTATTTTTTATGGCTGAGTAGTATTCCATAGAGTATATATACCACACTTTTCCAATCCATTCATCGGTTTGTGGACATTTAGGTTGGTTCCATGTCTTGGCAATTGTGACTAATGCTGCAATAAACATTGATGTGCAAGCACTTTTCTGACTGAGCGTTCTCCTGTCTTTTGGGTAAATACCCAGAAGTGGGATTGCTGGATCAAATGGTAGTTCTATTTGTAGATCCCTGAGGAACCTCCATATTGTTCTCCACAGTGGTTGAACTAGTTTACATTTCCACCAACAGTGTAGGAGGGTTCCCTTTTCACCACATCTCCGCCAACACTTATCACTTTTTATATTCTTAATCTTTGCCATTCTGACAGGGGTTAGGTGATATCTCATTGTGGTTTTTATCTGCATCTCCCTTATGATGAGGGATGTTGAGCATTTCCTCATGCAAACCTGTTCTTTAGACTTACTGGCTAACATACGGGAATGAACCAGCCTTAGAGAAATCCAAAAGAATATTGCTGGTAGAGGAGACGGCAGTCCCAAAGTACTACATCTGGAAAGGTCATGGGCTCAGGAAACGAACAGACCCAGGTTCATGTTCTAGCTCGAGTATTTAGGGGTATTTTCAGTTACTCAACCTCTTCAGGTATCAGTTTCCTTCTCTGTAAAATGAGGAGCAGTACCTGCCTATGCTATCACATGGACTAAATTCCTCAGGTTGGGAGAAAATACAGCTCTAGGTTTGTGACTATAAACCAGGAAAGAGCAAACACCATTTTCACATTGGATCCTTATCTCTTTCTGTTTCATAGCTTTTGAAAATAAAAATGATAGGTAAATAACTTATCAAACACAACCTCTAAAATGTAAAATTTCATAGAGAATAATTGAAAAACAAAAAATACACTGCAAAACAAAATTTCATCAACTGTCCATTTACTCCTCTGTCCCAACTATTTTACAGCCTTTCAGAAAGGCAATAAACATAATCAATGTTTAAGCATGGTTGTGTTTTTTATCCTCCAAGTGAGGATTCTTTCTCAGGAAATATCGGAGATTTAGTCTTGACTCTAAAGGAGATTCTTTCCTGAACACACCTTAATTGAGACATCATTCCATTTGTCTTTTGGTGGTTGGCCTAGAGTCTAGCGGTTTAGGGATTCATGCTAGCTTTATGTAAGCACCACCACCACAACTCTGTTAACACAAGCTTTCTGCGGTCAAAGAGTGGAAGTACAGGCTGCTGCTTGCCATGCACATCCGAGGAATGTACAAGGCAAAATAAAGGAGTGCTCTGTTAAGGCCTTGGCCGATGGTTCCCATTTTCTTGGTTCTAAGGACTTAACAACTCTTTTTCTCCTTTGCCTGTCATTCTGCCTATGTAACTTTCTCCCTTACTTCCTGGGACTCCATATCTTATTTGAAATGCCCTTTGCTCCCTGGGGTTTAAATGTTAAACTTATCAGATTTCTGAGATTCCCGGATCTACAGAGACCGATTCATAATAGGAACTTTGTGAGGGTGATTAGTGCTACCTTTCAAGGTCTGATTTGACTGTCTGGGACAGCAGATGGATAGAAAACTGAGGGAGCTAAAAAAAAAGTGTGTGTGTGTGAGAGAGAGAGAGAGAAGCTGTTTTCTCTGTTACCTCAGTTTTCACAATGCACATGTAACAACATTTTGGGAGCACAGATTTTAAAGATCTGGGTGTTTCTGCCACTGTGAAAGTTGAAGAAGCAGAACACTAACCCTTACTCTTAGACCTAGGAAACCCATGAACTGTGTAACATGGAACTTACTTATTTCTAAAGAATTATTTTAACTTAGTTTTATCATCATTATGATTATTCAGTTTTCTACGGGGCACTTGTGCTCACCAGGGAGAGAGACAGAAAGAGAGTGAGGGAAAGTGAGAAAGCAAGCTGCCTGGTCTGGGACTTAAACCACAGTCAGCCATGTGGGAGTTCAGCCCCCTATCTACCATGCCACCCGCTGGCCCCAGGGGTAACTAATGATTAAGCAGAGAGACTCTCAAGTTTTCCTGAGAGCAGAAAGAGAGGGAAATACGTATAATGAGCACTAAAACAGATGGGAGTCCACGAACTTCACATCAGCTTATCTGTGTTAGACAAAGAACCCGTTTGTTCAAATTTTCTCTCAGCCAGTCTAAACTTCATCAGATATGAAAAACTTTCTAGTGCTTTCCATCCTTAAAAGGGAATGGGAGGAGGGACCAGCAGTTAGTGTAATGGCTCTGTCGCTGGACTCCCACGTAGTCGACCAAGGTTTGCGTCCTGGACCCGGTGGCTTAAACTCACGCCAGGCACGTGTGTGTGTGCCCCAGATCCCGAGAGGAGAATGGAGGAGAGGGGATTGCAGTGTGGCCATCTCCCCAGGGCGGAGGGGTGTTTTCTCACTTTCTGTCTCTCTGTCTCTCTCTGTCTGTCTGGCGAGTGCACGTGCCCTATAGCAAAAACCTCTCCAAAAAAAAAAAAAAAGGGAATGGGAGGAGATAGGAAGCATTTTGCTTTATTAAAGTACATAAAGTTTCTTATCACTAGCACAGGATAATTCACCTACTTCCCTGTTGATTCACACCTCCTTTGCTTTCCCTCTTCTTTTTAGTCCTCCACGTGCTATCAACTTATTACATAAATGGAAACAGGGATCTATAGCTTAGGGATATATCATAAGGATCACAACCACACTCCTATGACAAAAGACAGTTTAACAAGAGAAAAGCATAAAAAAATTTATTTAATCCGAGTTTGACCTGACTTTACACACGCATGCACACGAAAGAAGAAAGTTTTCATCTTAATTCAGACTGTAAGAGTTGCTACTGTCTTCTAATTCCTGATAAATTCTTCATTCTTGGGTTTGTTATGCTTTTTTTCCCCCTTGAATTAGAAGTCAAGCAAGAGTGTGTTTGCATTTTCACTTACAAAGATAAATATGTCATCTGACTCATGAAGGCTGCTTCAGTCTTCCAACTAAGTTACTGACTCTCACAGACTTTTATCAGGAGAGAAAGTGGCTATGAATGATCCAAGATTATTAGTGGAAAAAAAAAAAAAAAAAAAAAAGCTCCCTGGCTGCAAGTATTTAAGGCTGCTTAACACAATGCACATGCTTGTTAAGGAGTTCCTGGCTGCAGCTCCTGGCCATGTGAAGGGAGCAGAAGGCGTGCATCACCCTTCAGTGTGTTCAACCATGGACTGAAGTACCAGCTTCTTACTCCTTGAAAATGGCTTCTGTTCACATCAACTACATTGTGGATGACTTTGGATGATGTAAACTTCTTACTATGAAAAAGACTTAAGTCCAGAAACAAAGCATGTATTGGCTTGTCCAGCATGTCTGGTGAGGTCAGACAATCAGAGGGTTCTTTGAGGGCTGAGACCACCCCTTGTATGAATAGAGACTGCCTCTCATTTGTCTTCTAGAGTCCCCCAACCCCATTCCTAACCCTTTTCACCCCAAACATAATTCTACTGAAAAAAAAAAAAAGTGATCACATAGCTCCTCATTCAGTACTCTTTTGTGGTAGAAAATATTTCTTTATGGTTAGTGTGCAGACTCTAAATTAAGTTCAAGTAAAGCTTCATTTTTCAAAAAAATATGCTGACTAGGAGTGAAAGGCAAGGCTATTTCCTCTTGATCTTTCTTGCCTTTTGTTCTCCCTAACCACCAACTGATTTTGCCTCTGTTTTCACCTCTCTTTCCCCAATTTGGCTTGAAATCTGTTATGTCTCCTTATCAGCTCCTCGCAGCCTCTTCCAGCACTCAGTGAAAACGGAGCTCTCTCTCTGGGAGGCTGGCTGCAAGGAGGCCAGCATAAACATGGCTCTGGGTACAGAACTGTGCAATGAAGATGGCCTGGGGAACTTCTGTAGAGATGTTGTACTTGTTGGGAAGTTCATGTGAGATGACAAACAGGAACTGAAGCCGAAGACCAGCACCTTAGGCAACAGAGGATGCATCAAGAGGCAAGTCCAGAGGCTGGTGTCAGACCTGAAATAGAGATGGAGCCAAAAGTCATCATTTAGGCAAGGGAAAAATACACCAGGAGGTAAATAAAAGACGGAAGGGGACACAAGATCTTTTGTCATGAATAACAGCATCCAAAACTTTCTTCTATTCCGTTTGAGCTAGGTGATGTCTTAGTGAATAAAACCTCAGTTAAATTGGAGAATTCATGATAAAGACATATCTTTATGCCTTTATAATTGGTTTATATTATCTCTACTTATATAGTTGGCTTGTCCTGTAATGAAGACCCTGACAAACTTGTCATCTTCCACCATTTCTAGCATGTAACTCTATAACAGAAGGACTTATTGTCAAATATATGAACTAAAGGCAGTATCAGGTGCTGTTTAAATATCCTACCTTGGACAATTTCCTGTAGAACATGAAATGCACAAAAAATAAAATGAATAATTATTGGCACCAGCCATTTTCACATTTCCCAACACCTCATACAGTTGTTGCATTTTTTTTTTTTTTTGCTATAGGGCTTGTGTGCTTGTCAGAGAAAGAATGAGAGAAAGAGAAAAAGTGAAAAATAATCCTATAGGAGAGATGGCCACATTGCAATCCCTTCTCCTCCATTCTCCTCTTGGGATTTTGGTCACACATGCACACATGTCTGGTGTGATTCTCAAGCTTCTGGATCCAGGACTCAAACTAGGTTCAGGCCATGTGGGATCCAGCACCTTAACTTGACCTGGTAGTTACAAATTTTAATAAAATGAAATAATTCATGTAAATTCATGTTTGGCATGTCAGTACATAATGCCATCGCACTTACAATAATATATCATTATGCAGTCTTGTTTTCAGAACAGACAGCTATAAACGGAGATGGTGGTGTGTTGACTTGACACTTCTTCATCCATCCTGTATTTTCTTCCTGGACACTTAGGAAGTCTACATTTCCCAGCCTTCCTTGCATCTGGGTGGAACAACGTGACTCAGTTCTGGCCAGCAGTAGATGGGTAGACGATTCCAAGGCTAGCTATACAATATCTTGTGCATTCGTATATTCCCTCTTTCCCCTCACATGAGGTTGGAAGAGAACGACCCTGCGATATAAGAACTATATGATGGAAAGGGCCTGGCTTTGTGGGTCACCCATGGAGGAGAAGATTCTGACCCACAATAGGCTGTGATGTGAACAGAACATGAACTTAATTGCGCTAGACCACTGAGATTTGGGGGATTTATTTGCTATTAGAGTATAGATAAGTCTACCTTGACTAAAACAGTAATGTTAAAGAAAGAGAAACTAAAGATGCTCTCAATTAGTTATTTGAAAACAAATGACTAATTACCAAAAAAGGTAGAATGCACACACATAAAACAAAGCTGCAAAACTGTGTGAGTGTATGAAAAGCTCCAGGACATCATTCTGCTGAGAGGCTGAGTTCCAGGTTTATGCAGCAACGTGAATCAGCTATGTCTGAGTCCGGGACCAGTACTTTTCTTCATTACATATTTTACCAGTTTGGGGTGAAATAGTGAAGGTGCCTCCTACACAGGTCAATGCTAAGGTACAAAGTTTCGAGGGTCAAACCAGATTGAATTATGTATTATCCAAGAACTTTTGTAGATGAAGGATGGTGGGTGTAAAAAAAGAAAAGAAAAAATGCAAACCTGTGGAGGAAGTGCTGAAAACTCAAGAGTGTTCAGAAGTACCATGAAAAGGAGAGAAATCATGAGGTAGACATCAAAAAAGGGCAGAAGTGTAGAGCCATAAAATTTACACCAGGAAAAGGAGCTTAGGTTGGAGACTTAATCACAGGAGGATGTCGTGACTTTTATGTGATATTGGCTGAGGGGGCAACCCCAATGGACAAGACCAGCAGAATGTACTTGAAGGAAGAGAATGAGTATACCCGGAAAGCCCCCAAAATTTCACACAAATATTAGCCCCAAACGTCTATACTGTTATCATGGAGTATAGAACTGTATAATAGGTAAAGACTAGCTTCCTTATCACTTAAGGTGCTCATAGTTGGGGTTCTTGGTTATTCTAGAAAGATCAATCATTTCATCTCCAATTCTTCAGAGCCCCAGTATGTATATTTAAGAGCTCAGCTCTCATTAATATGCATGTATAAATAGCTGGTTATGCTATTTAATTGTGAAATGCACATTGTTTGGTATGTTTTTAGTTTTCTAGTACCCATTCACATTTTTTGGCTAACAACACATGAATTTTCAGAGTGCATTTCTTCCCTCTCGTTTCATGTAGATACCATGGACTACCTACACTGGCATCCTGGTTTCTTCCAGTGAACAAGTGGGCTCCATACACATGTCATACCAATTGAAATTTCCTTCTAGGACTTTGAATTTGGGACAGAACAATGTAAAGAGGGAAAAAAGAATTGAAATTTATTCACCCAGATGGCCTCTGGAGCTCATCCTGGCTCTTCTTCTTGAGCTCTTCTTGAGCATTGTTGCAGAACTCCTAATGAAATCTGTGGGCTGTGCTGACCTTCAATGTGGTGAACCAGGGCTCATGGTTTGGGAAAGGCAGTTGGGCAGGCAAGCGTGGAAGAGCCCAAGGTGTCAAATCCACAGGGCAAGTGGAGACCAAGCACCACATAGAGAATCAGGCACCTTCCCAAGAGTTCCAGTAAAAGACTAAGTAATCAGATTCAGAACTGGTGCTGTGGAAAGGTTTCCTGGTTAATTATTCTTGAGAGATTTTTGCTATAGGGAATATGTGCTCACCAGAAAGAAAGACAGAAAGACAAAAAGTGAGAAATCACCCATCGAGGGGATGGCCATGCCACAATACCTTCTCCTCCATTCTCTCTCAGGATCTTGGGCATACACACACATGTGCCCAGCGTGAGCTTAAGCCACAGGGTCTGGCACTCAAACCATGGTCAACTACATGGAAGTCCAGTGATGTAATTATTACACCATGTGCTCTCCCCCTTCTGGTTAATTTTTAAAGTGGATAAGTCAAAATGTTTCTTGGTTGTGAATGACAAAAAAAAAAAAAAAACAGTTTGAAACAGCCTAAGGGAGGGAAAAAGACATAAAAGCCTTAGTTAACCACATACATAGTGATAGGAACAATGGAAAAATAAGTTATCATCCACCTGGGACATTTCCGAGAATTAAAGAGGAAGCTGTTAATGATTAAGCTGGGGTGACAGGTGTAAACTGAAATTGCCTTATGCAACTGGAATGTCTGCTCATCCTACTGTGAGGAAATCGGGGTGAATAACCTTAACAAGCTGCCAAGGACCAAACTCTCTCTCCCTTTCTCACTGCTTTTCTCTAATTGTTTTGTGTGAGCTTTATTTACAGAGTCTGTATTGCAGGGGTTATAGCAGACAGAAACGCCAGTCTCAAATTCTTGTAGTTTACAATCAGCAAGGAAAGGAAATTTTCCCTTTTTCTCCAGTATAAAATACCCAGTCCAAGAATTCCAGGTAGTCTTTCCTACAGCACATACCATTCCTGGAATAATCTCTGTGGAAAAGGGGATGGGCTCCTCCCATTATTTCATCTTGGGTCGTATGCCCTTCTGGTGCTGAAGACATAGGAATCCTATGAATCAATAGTCCCAATAGGGTGATTCAGCATTTCTCTGAAGGGAAAGGCTTTTCTGAGAGACAAAAACATAAATATCTACTAAAATAGCCTTTTATAGAGTGCCTACTGCCAAGTCCACCAGCAGTAGGGAGACTGTTAAGTGTTATATAAAACACTCTGACTCTACCTGGGAGAGAGGTTGAACCATGAATGTCATGACCTTGGAAACCTTTCATGATTTGCCTTAACAAAGAGCCATAGAGTTGCTCTATCTCTTATAATCTAGGATATAACAGTCTGCTAGATACCTATGAGGCCCTAGGGGTCAGTGTTCTGTAAACCACCAAGACCTCTCAAATGAAATGATGGTGGTGATATAGGGAGAAGGATCAATCTGATTTTGTGGTGTTCTTGTTTGGCTTTGAGCTGGAAAACCATTGGCAGAGAAGTAAGGGCACTGGACAGATTAAGCTGTACATGGGGGTTGGGAACAGAAAGGAAAGTAAGAACTTCACAGGAAAAGGTTGTGAAGAGGATTAACAGAGGCAGATTTCTCTTCCATCTCAGACTGGTCAAGCTTCCAATTCTGCCTTCACTGGCTCTTTCCTGTTTCAACTCTGGTTTTGTAAAGCACAACCATTTAAGATAATATTTAGAACAAAAAGATGCCACTTTCTGCAACCTTGGTATGATCCTTTCCACCTTGTAGGATTTCTTGGAGGTTAAAACTCATCAGCAATCTCCTTGTCTCCAGCTCAGTCCTTCCCTGAGAGTAAAAAGAGAGGATAAGGTACTGGAAGACTAATTGACTGACTAGGGATTCTCATTCAAAGAAACAACTCAGCCCAGTGTCAGAGACACTTGCTCCTATAGGAAACAGTCTTTACTGGGGAGAGTCTTCAACCTCAAAGGCATTGTACCTTCCAGAAAGACTGCAGCCTTTACTCTAATAAACAGTCAACGGCTCTACTTGCTGTGGCAGTGGTGCAAGACCAGAGTCCGAGCTGCATCTGTAAGAGTCATGGCAGGATAGCCATTCAGGAAGTTTCTTCCACTCTTTGAATATTGATTGAAAGGAGTACTGCTGAAACATTAATCAAAGGAGGCCTTATGCTTCTAGAAAAGTCTCAAGGAAAGTATCGCAAGAAACAGTAGTAGCTGTTGGATCTGGCTCTAAAGGAAAGGGTGGAGAGATTCAACCAGTTAGCATGAAAGTTGGAGATCAAGTTCTTCTTTCAGAACATGGAGGCACCGAAGTAGTTCTAGATGACAAGGATTATTTCCTATTTTGAGGTGGTGACATTCTTGGAAAGTATGTAGACTGAAATAAATCACTACTGAAATGGCATCACATGAAGCCGCCCATCCCACTGAAGCTGTAAAATCTTTCATTATGTAAATAATTTTCCATGTTTCTCTTTTATAATAAACTAATGACATCTAATGTAATGATACCCACTGTCTCTAAGACTTAATTTTGCTGTACTGGTATAAACAATTCCAAATAAAATATGTAAATGAGTGGTTAAAACAAACAAACGAAAAATGACAATCAATAGTCCAGCCCAAGCCCTGTTAAGAGAGGACTATCTTTGCCACAGGACTGAATAGCAGAAAAAACTGCAAGCATTGTCCTTCAAAATTAGGCAGTGAGACTGACAAAGTGCTCAGAGTTGTAATCATTCTTTGGACCTCTACATTAGACATGGGAGATTCCATGATAGTCTATTAATGTAGTACCTGGCCCTGAACAACATGAATTTGAAATTTGTGGGTCTACTTACACGTGAATTTTTTTTCAGTAAATGTATTGGAAAATTTAGTACCGTAAATGTATTTCCTCTTCTTATGATTTTCTTAATAATTTTCTTTTCCCTAGCTTACTTTATTGTGAGAATACTGTGCATAAAACATACAACTGTTCAACTGTTTATGTTATTAGTAAGGATTCTGGTCAACAGGCTATTAACAGTGAAGTTTTGGGGGATAGGACAGGTCCCTGGCAAGCAGTAATGCACTGCTCAAGAAAAGTTAGGTCTACACGGAGTCACATCTACTGTACCTTTATAATATCTTTCTGCCTATCTTCAGAGCTGGCCCTCCCCACACCTCAGTTTCAGCATCAGACATGTTCTTATCTACCACAGGGAATTTGGATACACCTTGGATCCTGCTTTTCTGTCAGTTTGATCCAAAAGGAACTTCTCATGTTGGCTCTTAGGTACCCGTGGCTGACTTTAAAAACTGGGACTCCTTTCACACTTTTCAGATCCCAGTCTGAGAAGTTGTGATCTGGAGAAGACATTGCTTCACATGAATAGGATTTCTTGAGAGAATCTTTTTATTCTAGGGATGAGATGAGAAGGAAGATAACTTCCACAAACCCGGTCTAAGAGTCCTGCAGGAACTGGTGCCTAATAGTAGATAGGAACTGCAAAAAGAAGTTATTTTCATTTATTCGTATGGTGATACTTATATTGAGCATATGCTATGTGCTTGATGATTTGCACCCCGAAGACTCAACAGAAAACAAGACAGACACAATGTATTCATGGAGCTTCTATTTCAGTAGGTCAGATACACATTATCAGGTAGGTTCAATAAAGTATAACAATATTTGGAAGCTCAGATATCTTTCTCTCAGAAAGATTAAGGTTAACTTCTCTCTCTCTCTTCTTCTATGTCTCTCTTCCCATGAGTGCATGTGCCTTACAGCAATTTTTAAAAAAGTGTAAGTTAATTTTGTTGCAAAAATCTATGAGTAATTTTTTTATAATGGGCAATTCTATGAACTTCTTGAAAACTCTCTTGTAATGAAAGCAGTAGAACTTGATGAATTCTTTTAAATCCAAGTAAAGAAATATCTCAAATGTTCTCTTCTCACCACTAAGGGAAACCACTATTATTACTTTATAAACTTCTTTTTACCTATTTTAGTGCTTTATCTAAATAGTATCCTACACTACGCATATTTTTGGTCTAGCTTCCATAGCTCACCATTTTGTTTGTGAGATTCAGTTATGGTGTTATGTGAGGTTGTGCATCATTCGTTCCCATTGCTACATTCTGTAGTGAGACTACAATGCTGTGTGTTTTCCTGTTCCTTGGTTTATGGGTATATGAGAATGTGCAGTTTGAGGCAATTACAAATGGCACAGTGATGAACACTCTAGAATATGTCTTTGGATGGGCATCAGTTCTCATCACTGTGAGGAATTGCACACAGATCGTTTTATATTTTAATTTGCATTTCCCTGGGGGCCAATGATATAGAGCACATTTTAATGCTATTTTTTTATTTTTGAGAGGTTTTTTTTTTCACTATAGGGCGCGTGCGCTCGCCAGACAGACAGAGAAAGACATAGAGACAGAAAGCGAGAAATCACCCCCCAGGGGGGATGGTCACACCACAATCCCTTCTCCTCCATTCTCCTCCTGGGATCTTGGGCACGCAAGCACACGTGCCCGGCGTGAGTTTTAAGCCACCGGGTCCGGGACACGAACCACGGTCGACTACGTGGGAGTCCAGCGACATAGCCATTACGCTAACTGCTGGTTCCCTATTTTTTAATTTTTGGTTGATCATTTGGCTATTTTTCTTTGAGAATATCTGTTTATGTCTTTTTTTTTTTTTAATTGCCAAAAGGCACATGCACTTGCCAGGGAGAGAGAGAGAAGGATGGGAGAGAAATCACTCTTCCACGGGACATGGTCATGTTGCAATCTCCTCCTACCCATTTCTATATCCTGTTAAGATTTTGGTTGACCACACACACATACCCTTATATGTTTTTCAAGTTGCCAGAGCCAAGAGTCCAACTTCCATCAGCCATATGGGATCCAGCTCCCTTAACCACTAGGCAACAGGGCAGGTTTCCTGTTCAAGTCTTTGTCCATTTTCCATTGGATTGTGAAGATAGTTCTTTCTTTTCTGTTAGCTGTTGAGAGATCCTACAGACACCATCTTTGG